ATGTTTTAAAAACACCAGATTAATCTGAGGTAACACAGATAAGACATAATATGAATTGTGTGTTTGTTGGCATTTGGGTTTAAAATTATTAAATTATTTAATCATGTTCTTTGTAAAAATACATTTCTAACACATTCACAGATAATATAATAATCATGCAGACTATTATTAAGGCGTTCAACTTGATGAATACACAACTTCTCACTCCCAGGTTCTTCATTACTGTGCCTCTAGCTCCCTCTACTGACTATCAAAGTGTATTACACACACAAAGTACACTCAAACTGCTACAATAACTTCCACTTGTGCTTATCCTGTTGTTACATGTATTAATTGCGTTTATTTTTTATTTTTTTATTTATTCCGTTTTCGTACCAAACTACAGGATAAGCTCTGCAAATAATTCCTAAATTGTGCATCTATTCATTTCATTTTTACTGTAAGATGTTTTTGTGTAACATTATCTCTAAACATACAGAGATTATGCTGAAGTACATTGTAAATAAAACTAAGTTCACCTTGTGCAACCACAATTAATGAAGACATCTAAAGTCTTTGATTTGTACCTTTCATGTAAATAGCAAATACTAATACATGAGGTACAAACTGGGGCCACCAGCTTTTTAACTTAAGATATGATAGATAAGATAAGATATTCCTTTAATCGTCCCACAATGGAGAAATTCCAATCTTAAGCAGAAACGTGGATAGAGAAAAACAAACAGTATAAAGACAGTATACAAACAGTATGAAAAAAATAATATAATATAATATAATATAATATAAACACTGTACAAGAGAGAAAAAACAGTAAAAAAAAATAACAGATACACAATAACAAAAATACTAGCAGCAGTTGCACATGGGCAATAGATTGCACAGTAATTATTGTCCATTGATTATTGCACATTGTTATTGACAAGATTGTTATTATTATTGTTGAGCCAGATGGGGGGGGGGAGTTACTGGAGCAGTGCTGGTTGTTATACTATCTGACAGCAGCTATGTGTAAGGAAGGAACCTACGATGAAATCTCTCCTTCACACATTTGGGGTAAAGGAGTCTGTTAAATTAATATTATTAATATTTTACCCATTTGTACTTCCAGTAACCTTTCCAATCTAATTTTCCAAGAATTAATCGTGGACTGCATCGCTGTTTGTGACAGTGTCTTTCCTAATACCACCACTGGAGAGCACCAAAGGCAGAAATGTTATTGCGTTGTTAAATCAGGAAGCAGAAGATGAGGAATAACATTAGACTAAAATACTCTAAATAAATTAGAACTCAGCCACATTCTTTGGACATGCAAAGAAAGTTTTTGCTAACTGATATCTAAACACACACCTCCTACTATGATATTGCTTTGCTAGCCTAGAACCATGAGCTAACGGTCAAGTGTTGGCAGGAGTTAGCGAGTTGATCCAAATCCCATTTGATTTGATTAATTTATGTAACATCATACAGAAACTCATCAGTTTTTTTGTTCAATCAAAAACTTTATATATATAGGGATAAATTACAATTATATTAATACAATTTGGCACTATGATCATTATGCTAATTATTTATAGGATTTCTAAGTTAATGTTGCCTCATCTGATTAAATAATCAGCCTCCTACTTTCTGAATACCCCACATCCTCTAAAAATGCGTAGAAGTAGTATGTATATGGAACTGGGACACAGCTACAGATGTATTTGGTCTTTGTAGTTGAGTGTGCATAGGTGAAGTCTCTCCAAAAGCTAATATTGAGCAGTACAACAGTGCCACCTGTCTGTCAGTTGCACTACTACATGCTGACCCAGTTCCCACCTTCACTTTGGTGCTTTCTCTGTCATTTCCTCTCAAATTCCCCTCTGCTCCCCTCATCTGTTAACCTCTGACCTTCACCCCTGCACCTGAAACCTCCCCATCTGCTCTGAACCCACTGACCTCTGACCCTGACACTGACAGTGTGGAGTATACTCCCAGTTTCAACCCCATAGCTCTGAAAGACTCGGCCCTGTCCACCCACAAGCCAATTGAGGTGAAGGGTCCGGGAGGAAAGGCCACCATTGTTCACGCCCAGTACAACACACCAATCAGCATGTACTCACAGGACGCCATCATGGACGCCATCGCAGGGCAGTCGCAGGCTAAGGGACACGACAGGTGAGGTCACACAACCCAACTAATCCCCTCTCCAGTCTTTCAAGCACTCTCTCCACTCACACACTTGACATCACATTACAAGCGGCCAGCGCGTCGAGACATTAAAGGGTTGGTTCACCCAAATCACAAAAAAAAACATATTTTCTCGCTTACTGCCATCTAACCATGCAGATAGTTGTGGTTTTATTTGCCAGGATTTCGAGACATCCACTGCTGAGAATATAATCCAATATAGTGGAGTTTTCATTGGAAACCAAAGATGTGTTGTGTTTTTGTTACATTAGAAAAAGCTGTTTTTATCTACAGAGGTAGCAGGTCCTCTTCTACAGAGTACGCCATCTAGAACTGTCACAATTTCTACAGCAGCCAAGTACAGACTCTCACCGTAGTTTCTCTTACACGCTTGCAACAGGAGAGTGAGGCGTGGATGTTGCAATCAGCCACTACACCACTAGAGGCCACTTAATCCTACAAAATGGCCGTTTAAGGAGAGAAGTTAACTCTGACTCCCAAGGGGAATTTCAGTAAGAAACATCCATTCACACAGCCCCACCAATGTCAAGATGGAGCTTAAGACTTTACTGTAGGAAACACACTGAGCACTTTAAATCAGTTCACTTTTATATTCTTCGTCGCTATTTCTTCAGTAATTACTACCAGATTACATTTACAGTTACAGTTGTTTCGAGGAAACCTTAGAGGTAATTATTTGGAAATTACAGACCAGTAAAAGCATGACCAACACGGAGGTCTAAATGCTGTCAAGGTTAGGAGAAATAGCATACTATTACTATTTTGGAAAAACTGCTGTACTACAACTAATACTGGAAAAATACAAGAATCAGCCTAATAAAATGTGTCAGTTTACTGCTGAATGTAAACTCTCATAAGCTTACTAAAACCCCCAAGCCCTGTGTGAGGTGAATTCAGCAACTAAATGTTGCTGTGTCTTGTTCCCAATTGCAAAAACAAAGCATTATGAATTTGCTACAGCTCTAATTCAGGCATCCCTGGAATCTTCCCCCATAGCACCATCTGCTGACGCTCATGGGTAGTTTTACCATCCAGCATGCAAAACTGACTTATGGTTTATTATTATATTATTATCCAGGAGACTTTTTTATTTTACTTTATGGAAATCTTTAAAAGAACGTCTTAAAATGGGAATTATTGGGATAGCAGCACAAATCTCATACTCAAATATCTCAAAACCTGGGCGAAACAAAAACAAAATTTATAGGCATGGCTGAATATTATTGGCAGCAAGTGAGAAAATATGTTTGTTTTTTTTTCATTTGGATGAACCAGACCTTTAAGATACTTTGCCTGAAAAGCCCAAACACAAAAAGCAGCATTTGAACAAGCATACGTTAAGCTTGCGCTGCTACCACCCGGATGTCTACTTTATTGTTTGAGCGGGCTTTTCCATGTTGTCTGTGTCCGATCCACGTACTCGTCCGTGCCTTTCACCCACTTTCCTCTCCTCATTCCATCCACAAACAAACAACCAACCATACCCGTGCTGTCCTCCACCCATCCCTCCCCATCCTTCTTTCCTGGTTGTGACCTCAGTGAGGAGGCTCAAGGCTCCCCCTTGGCGTAAGTACATCAGTGCTCCTTTCCATCCTGCCTCTCCTCATATGTGTCTCCTTTGTCTCATGATTTCATAACAGCTTGTGCGTCGCTCCATGTGTCTCATAAACTAATATCCCACTGAAAACATTTTGAAATCCTACAGCATTTGTTTCTTTATTTTGTTGTGTTCTTTTAATGTGTTTTTGGGGTGTTATGTGTCAAACCGAGGTGTTAATGGACAAATTCACTAACCACGAAGCCTTCATGGATGTGTGGAAGTACTTAGATGTACTTTGGCCGAAGTGTGAGAGTGTTTAGGTTTTTTTTTGTGGAGTCCTCCTCTAAAAAAACAGCCAATTACATCCCAGCCTCGGGGAGCTGATGGGATGTCATGGCATGGGAATGTTCTGAGTATCCAATCACAGGTTTTCAAACAAATACTGCCCGATCGGTACTGACTCACTTTTCTAACAATCATTAAAAAAAATGTTGAAAATTGACAATCCAGTCATGTTGCTGTGTAAACTTATTGTACTCAGTATCTACTGTACACTACAGTGTCAACACCTTCAACATGGAATTGTGGGAAGACACACAGACAGTGAACAAACAGGCTGTGTGTAAAGCAACACAAATGCAATTGTTGATCTTAATATAATATCTGCCCATAATGAAATGACATCTGATTCAATAAACCTTGTAATTCCAATAAACTCAAATGGATTAATAGCATTTTAAACTTTTAATACTTTGTAGTGCATTGTGGTAGCCTAAAATACAATGCCCATGGACTCCTCACTAGCAAATAGAAGATGTTTTATTTTATTACAACTATGCCTGGCCCATATGTGATTATGAATTGTGAGATCTTTTACTCAAATGAAAGTAGCAATACCACAGTGTAGAAATACAAGTAAAAGTCCTGAATTCAAAATTAGTAAGTAAATAAATATTTCATATATTTGTTTGTTTACAATATTAGTGATGAACCCTCTCTGCTTTGCTGTCAGCATTACCTAAAGCCCAGGGGATACTTTCATTTTATTATATATGCCTTAAGTAATATAATTTCTTAAGTTGTAAATTATACATCATATGGGCATTTAGTACATTATGATCATCTATTACATTTGGGGCTTTAAATACAGTACCGCACACTCAGAGCTCTAACAGTACTCTCTGCCCTGCAGTGGAGCTCTGCCAGTCAAGGACCCTGTAGTAGACTGTGCGTCTCCAGTTTACCAGGCAGTGATCAGGCCAGGAGAGACAGCCCAGGATATGTCTGAATGGGCCCGTCGTGCTGCCAACCTGCAGTCCAAGAGCTTCAGGATCCTGGCCCACATCACTGGCACTGAATACAGTCAGTACACTAAAACCCTCCTTTCCTTCTTTCTTGCCTTCCCTCTTAATCTTCTTGATACTCATCTCTGCACATCCTCACTTCTTGTTCATATTCAGTCATCACCATTGGTGAGTCCTTACTGAAACCTCTTGTTCATTTCTCTCCATGCAGTGCAAGACCCAGATGAGGAAGCCCTGCAGAAGTCGAGGTAAGGTGGTAAAAAAAAAAAAAAAAAAGTGTGAGGACTTTAAGGGTATTTGTATGTTAGTTTAAAAAAATGACCTGGCTGGTCGACTGACACAAACTTTGACAAAAAAGACAAATTATTTTAGGGAATGGTTCAACATTTTGAAAAATATCCCAATTTGTATTCTTGCCAAGAGTTAGATGAGAAGATGGACACCACTTTCACATCTGTCCATTAAATATGAAGCTACAACCAGCAGAAGGTTAGCTTAGTTTAGCATAAAGCCTGCAAAGAAAAGGGAAACAGCTAGCCTGGTTCTGTCTGACAGTAAAGAATAACAGATCACTAACATTTCTCAAAAAACAACACGCCAGACAGCCAACAGAGACTCCAGAAAGTTAATGGTCATGGCCAAGAAACCGACTGGTAATTTACACTGCTCTGTTTTTGTACAGAATGAACAAGCAAGAAATATTGTTTTAATTATTAAGCTTTAGAGATGCTGGTTGGCTAATTGTGTTACCTTTGGACAGACACAGGCTAGCTGTTTCCAGTCTTTGTGCTAAGCTAAGCTTCTCAATCTTCTCACCTAACTCAATGTTAGACTATCCCTTTAAAGTTGTGATGAAAAGTGCAAATAGTACCTGATGTAACAGCCTTGTCCTGCCTTCCACACCATCAGAGAGAAGTTTGAGTCGGAGGTGAAAGGGCCCCGCTTTGCCAAGCTGAAGAACTGGCACAACGGACTGTCTGCACAGATCCTCAATGTCCAGGAATAAAGAGGAGCAGGAGAGAAAGTGAGAGAGAGAGAGAGGACGTGTAAAGAAGGACATGGACATAAGCACAGGAGTTAACAGGAAGAGGGGGATAAATTATGGAGGAAAAATAAGGAACAGGAGGGGGAGGAAACTCCTCAGGAATGTGAGATAGCGTTGTAGTCTAGATTAGTAGAATGTGAGATACTAACTGTTAGTGTGAGAATGCTATGAGTCCATAAGCTCAACATTACCTGTCAATGTATCTGTCCGCTGCTAAGACCTGATCTTGCATTTGGGTTTTTCTTTCTTTCTTTGTGTCCTGTTTGTTTGGGGTCTGTCTCTCTTACAGTATTCAAGTGAAAATACAGAACTGATTATGTTTCTTTTAGTACATAAACCGCATTCACAAACATATGTATTTTAACACTATATAAGCATGCTTGTGAGAAGGCACAGAAGGACAAATATACACATAGAGATTAACCTACATGCACAAATACAGTATGTAAAAAAAAATGCACTCAAAAAATGTACTGATATCAATGTGAATAAATGTTTTCTTAAAACCATACGGCTGAGTGAACTGTTGTAAACTCACAAAGGAAATGAACGTGTCACTGCGAAGGACTCAAAAACTGGAGGAATCCCCTGTCATTACCAGTGCTGTTGGTGTGGCAGAGGGGGTGTTTTGACTTTGCAGAGACAAACATCATTCAGGAAGTGCATCTAATAGCTTTTGACAGAATAATATGACAGTTTTTCAGCTGGTGGCGACATGGACAGTGACACAACTGTGGTAGCAGGGCTCACGAAGCATGAGAGCTGAATATTACTGCTACTTTTGTTCAATGAGTCATATACAACATGAAAGAAAGACCTTTGATGATGAAGCATATGGTTGGACTTTGTAGCTCCGAGGGACATTTGTTTCCATTCTTAATTACTGATGAATGTAGCTTATAAAGTGGATGTTAGCAACCCAACAAATGTAACACCAGTATCCACTGTCCTTTAGCACTGTTTGGGGCTCCTCCAACTCTCCAAGCAGGTATTTATGGTTGACTTTGGTTAGATTGAAGTAAGCTAGTTGGTAACTTTCTCTATCTGTGGTTTGGTGAAGATGTGGTTCAGCTTTTTGGCTGAAAATAGCTGCCTGCTCTGGCTGGAAATGACGCTAATAAGACCAAAACAGTAAAGTCGCAGGCTGGAAAACCAAAACAATGAGCTGATATATAAATGCTCTGTAGGGCTGAGGCGAACAGCACAGTCAGGTTCATGTGGGTTAATCACTACGGGCAACCTCTTTCACATTACACATAGTCATTTGGTCCTCTGTTGATTAGTGCAGCTTTATAGGAGCGGCAGGATTGCAACTCCCTCGTTTCACCCTTGCCTTCCATGCCCAAAGGGAAAACTATGGTGATCGCAAAGCATGTGAGAAACGGCCTGATCTATAGCCAGAGTTTGGTTTATCTTTTCTTAGCTACTGTAGAAACATGGCAGTTCAACATGGCGGCCTCCAAGGAAGGCGACCTGCTGCATCTGGATATAAATGACTCATTCTAAGGTAACTAAAAACCCAATGAATCTTATTTTCAGGTGATTATATATTATTGAAACTGAACCTATGAATATTAAACTCCATATCTGACAACAGATCCTCCTTAACGTTACATACAGGACCTTTAAGTTTGAAAAATTAGACCTGAGCAGTAGGTGTTTGCTGTGACATTTTACTGACTTGAGACTTAAAAGCAAAAACATTTAAGCATTGAAAGGACTTTATCTCAAGAAAACACAGCTTCAAATGTTTAAATGCTGTGTCATTTTACTGGTCAGCCATCTGTCAGCCATAATGCTGTGTCATTATGTCATATGTGGTCAAACCACCAGAGGGCAGTCAGAATCTGTACAGCCAGATTGAAAAGAAGAGACATCCCAAATATATCACTTTGCTCCTTAAATGGTTCCTTAAAACCAAATGCCAAAGATATAGTTGCAGAAGCTGATTTTTATCTTCATTCCTAATTATTTCTCTCTGCTTGCCTCCTTTTCAGTTAGAAAATTGAATAAAAATAAAAAACAAAAATGGAGCTGTTATCATATCAAAACTATACACAGAATTGCTGTCATGCTGAGTCGGCATGTCTGGGAGAAATGGGATGATGGGGAGGAGGAAGAGGGAGAAGGGGGAGGGAGGGGCAGTTGTGACTCATTCAGGTGGAGATGACAAAGCATTTTCTCTTCTCTCGCAACAATAAAAATAGCTACAGGTGCTGTCTTTTTCTTTCTAAATTCAATTAAATTCAGTTGAGTGAGGCTTTACTGGCACGACATCTTGATCAAAAAGCATAATACATAAACAGAGAGATACATACAACAAATACATGCAAAAATTATGATATGCAGTATATAAACGACTGGTTACTTAAAGTAAGAAATGCTCAAAATCAGACAAAGGGAGCAGGGATCTTTGGGAGAAGCTGTGTGATGTGATTGCATGAAATCTCAGAAGGCATATGATGTGACAAAAAAAAAAAAAAATCCTCCTCGCTTCCCATGCTGAATCTCTGCTGGTTATGTAACAGTGCTCACAAGCTCAGCATCTAGAAAGGTGTGTCCAGAGCAACGTGCCAATCAAAATATGCAAACTGCAAGCCGGTGGGTGAGCCGAGCATGAGTGAGAACCATCAGGAAAAAGATGGATGATGGGTGGAGGGGCGGTTGAGGCACGGGGTTGCAGCATGACTTGAAAATGCTGCAGCATCCGGTCGTCTCTCCTCCTCCTCCTCTTCTCTCCATCTCGTGCATACCGGCTGTTTCCTCCCCCCTCTCTCTCAGTCTGCGTGCTGTAGTCTTGCTGTGCGGTCCTCTCAGTCCTCTGTTGTAGCACCGAAGGGAGGAGGAGCCACCGGCACACACACACACACACACACATACACACACACACACTCACACAGACACACACACTCTGACATCTCACATCATCTCTCCTGCACGCTCACTGTAAGCACCAACCAGCCAGCCAGCAAGCAAGCCAGGCCAGTTTGGAGCAGGGGAGCCCAGCCGTCTCGTCGCTCAAAATGGATGTACTGATGAAGGGGTTCTCCATGGCCAAGGAGGGGGTGGTGGCCGCTGCAGAGAAGACCAAAGCCGGCATGGAGGAGGCAGCAGCCAAGACCAAGGAAGGGGTGATGTATGTAGGTACGTACACATCTTGTCTGTGGAGCTGGAATAGCAGACAAAAAGGTATTTTTGGGGGCGAGGCACTCATTATTCTGTGTGCGTGTGTGTTTTTGCGCCATCTGAGGTGGGGTCCCATGAGTGCCCATGTCTGGGACACTTGTGTGAAGTGACAGGGACAGAGAGAGGAGGAGAAGAAGGAGGAAGAAGAGATAAAGGAAGAAAGGAGGGGATGGAGTGAGTGCTGGAAGGATACTGCTGCAGGACTGGTGCAGGGCAGAGGGTGGGGGTTTGAAAGAGTAATAGATGGAGTGAGAAGGGAGGGTTAGATGGGGAAAGAGATGGAAGTTGTAACTGGGTAGCAGGACAGTAACTGGTGGAAGGCTGGTCTGTCTTGGAAAAAAAATAGGTGGAAGAGAAAGAGGAGAAGAGGAAAGGTGGATTCTGCAGGATCTTGACATGGCGCCACCTCAGTCTTTTATCACCTGTCCTATTTTATTCACATTCAATGGTTTGTGGAGCTGTTTGCAGAGGGACGTATAGTGATGGATCCAATGCAGCCCCAGAGACTCCCCAAAGACTCCATATATCTGCTTTTATTCATTTACAGAAAAGAGTTGACCTATATTGAACATGCCGCCATACGTTTTTTGAAATATATTCAAAAAATATCTTATGAAATATCTTAAGATTAAAGTACATTCACAATAAATATCGACACATGTAAGGACGGACCACTTGAAATAGCAATTTTAAAGAATCTTCAGAGGCTTTATGGTCACACTGTTTTTTCCTGTACTTTTTTATTAGCTCAAGCAGCTAATGCGTCACATCTCAAGGTTACCCCGAGAACCAGGCTTTTAGGCCGCTTGAGAGGGGAAGGGGGTGGGGGGTTGTAAAAG